TTTCAAAACACATAACTATACACACAGACTTCAGCACGTGTGGAACTCAAAAGTCTAAAAGCACTTTATCAGTCGAGGAGAAAGAGTTTTGCGAAACTCACCTCCACATACCTACGTAAACATATACACACACTCAACTATGTACACACATACTCAACTACATGGGCTTAAAAACCTTAAGATCACAAAACCAGAGCACAAGTTTGTTAACATTTATATTCCAAAGCAACAGGTACACTCCTTGCCTCTTCTTCCTTCACAAAAGATTCAGGGATCTTTCTTTAGTGTCTTTTAGAGCATCTACATTAAAAAATGATATGGTTGGCCAACACCAAAGATTGCGCTGCACAAAATTTTAAACACCCACCTTTCTGTTTTGGGCAGGTTTATGGATTAGTTATCTCTAGTTACCTGGCCACATATACTTTTTCAGAGCAGCAGATTTCTTTGAATAATGAAAAAAATATGAATTAATAAAATTCTATTCATAAAAATAACCCGCCATCCCACAGGACTGTGTTACTAATAGCAGGCCATTGTAAAAATATGTCATACATGAAATAATTAAAGCTGCAGAAGTTGAGCCATAATATTCTTTCCAGAATGGCATACCATCTGCTTCACGTTCCATTTGGAACAAGATTCTCAGTGATGGGGGGTGGAAAGTCTGTGGCAGGTAATTATAAAGCCACCTGTCTAGAAGGAATCTCCACCCTGACTGTGGTGAGGTATGGCAAGAGTTTTTGCAAATACTCTACGTGGAAAGTGCATGTTTTGTAATATTAGAATGAAACCTTGTTATTGTCCCATGAACTGTTAGGTTTTTACACCATGTTATGAAAAAACTACAGCATTCCATATTACATACCTGTGCATGTACTTAATAAGTACAAATGTACATTCTTGGACTTGGTTCAAAGTCTGGTTAAGTTATGAAATATTTCCCCATGTGCTATTACAAGTTTTTCACAATCCTATTACTACTTCTTACCCAACCACAGATTTTTTCAGTTTCCATTCTATCTGTCACAGCCTGGCACCTAAATATGGATCTTCAAGGCAGGCCAATGAGCAGGCAATGAGACGGCACTGCAGGCCATAAATAGGCAGACCAGCTGCAGCTAAACTCCCAACATCTGAATACTTTTTTAAGAGACAGCCAACACTGCCCATGAGGTCTCTTTATGGTCTATAACCATTTCTGTGTGACATAACAAGTACCTAAACCATTGATGGTATAGCCTTAGCACAGAGGCATACGTTTTAGGACTATGCGCTTGCAAAGCACGGTTTGTTACAGAAATAAACCTGTCTGAGAAAACGTGTGTTTCTTCTGTTCTTGGGATGCCAACTCACCATGTGAACGACGCCAGTCACACCTACAACTTCCAGCAGGCCATCGTCAATGCGTGGTTTCTCAAAGCGGTTGTCACTCTCAGAGCCCCAGAGGTCAGCTCCAGAGCCCCAGCTGTGTGGAGAGCACACCACAGTGAGCATCCACAGATCTGTAGCCTGCCTCAGAGCACCCTCCCCAGTACCCTCCTAGGAATGCCTGGTTTGCCAGCCTTCAAAAGTCAGACACTCTGCTCCCCACGCAGATGGAGGGAGCAGCTTTTCTGCACTGTAAAAGCAGGAACCGTTTTCCTAAAATCTGGAAGTATTCTGATCAGATCCTTTAGCAGTAAAGGAGGAGTAAAGTAAATAGTTTCCAGTGGAAAGAAGAAAGAGTAGGTAAGAAGAAAGTAACTCCAAAGAATTTCAGTTTGCTGGGAAATAGTTACTTACACTAACCCTTAACTTCCTAAAAACTTAACATAGCTCTTACTGGTCTTGACAACATTCATGAAAGCTACTGAAGAGCTAAAACAAATACCAAGTTTTTATTCTTGTAGCTGGCCAAACTCACTTGTAGTTAAGCAGGTATTCATGTACTTCAATCCTCTGAAATGCTTCTGACAATTTAACATCATATTGCTTTTTTTGGTGCAGTACTGGCCCTCCCCACTCAAATCACTCACTTATTGTTTTGGTGCGTGGACTGCTCATCACTAATCATGAGCTTTTATTCTCCACAGTTCTCATGGGCAGTGTATATGTGTATGCACACGTGCACATATTCGTGTGTGCGTACACGTAAAAATGCATATTTGAATAACGAGTTGAAACGTTTTTAGACTAAAATGCAAAGAGGTTGTTTAAGACAAGAGTGTACTTGAAAACTAACAGGATGGCAGCACTAATTACCTCCTGGTTTTGTGCAAACAAAACCCCTGCCTCTACCAACAGCACACCTAAGGAAGCCAGATTTCATGCAGACTCGGCTTCCTTTCTTTCACAGCAGTAGCTCTAGCTCCCTGCAGGTGTCAGGGCAGCCCCCACAATCCTGCAAGAGATACCTGGACACAGCTACCCAGGTAGCATCACAGACTCCACCTATAATGACCAGCTGCCTGAAGGACCTGAGCAGTGTTTGGACAGTAGAATTCTGTGTGGCCTCCACTACAGGAACCTCTTAGGTACCTGACCTCTAGCACATAAATAATCTTTGATTCTTCTACGTGTCACTGTGAAATCTGGTGGACTGCTCAAGCAGTGGGGGGATGAGGGAGGCCTGTAGTAGACAGGTGCTATGGGCCTGCAGCCATGCCTAAATCATATTTCACTAGGAAACTGCTCCAAAAGAAGTCTGAAGACCTTTTGTGGGTAAATAATTCCAAATTACTGTAAGGACAGAGAAAAAGACACAAATGTATGGGGTTTGCACTGGGAAAACAAGACAGTATAACATTATTACAGAAATTCCATCTTTAAGCAGAATGAGACTGAGTTTCAAAGGATCACAAAAACGATGTCAAAATGGTATTAAAAGCTAGATCCTTAGGCATAGTTGCAAAGCCAGAGAATCAGTCTAAAATACCCAGTTATAACCATCTACTGATTCAAACCATTTAACATTTTATCTCACCATTTGACATTTGAAGCTCAAATATCAAGCAGCAATCCCACACATGCAGCCAGGCATGCATCCACAAAGGATCCTTCCTCTCCTTCTTACCTGGGTATATTAATAAAAATGAGTCCTTCTATACTTGGTAACTCCACCTCATGCTGGTCCACTTGCAGCTTTATGTCTTTGTGAAGGTTTCTAGTATGGCTAATCTTCTGCAGCCCAACTTTCACGTAAACTCCTTTGTTGTGAAACCTAGGAGCAGACAACCAACTCGTAACTAAAAGGTAAGGTCCAGCATAGCACTCTGCCTTGTATGTAGACCAGTAATGTCCTCTAGCACGTCATGTTTAAAGAGGTTTTCTGTTAAAACCCTCTTCAAATTCTTCTAGCTTTACTGCAGATACAAAGCATAACCCATGCACTGCTAATCTATATTCCTCTTACTTAAGAGATGGTTGTCCTGTTGAGGCACGTGGAGATTGTGAAATTTTATTACAGAAAAATCATCCCTTTTTAAAGTGCTGCCTGGATGCAATGCCTCTTTGAAATGTAAACTTCTGAGTTTGAAGAGTACATTTTTAATTAACAGCCAGAGCTCTTCATAAAACATTTTTAAGTATTTTCTCCTGCAATGATAGAATACTTAGGGCACAAAAACATTAAAAAATGTTTGCTTCACACATTGCTAATTAATTTGAAAAACACTTAGCTGCAGAAACTTCAAACAGGCTAGTAATGTTAACTTGTGACAGAGCTCTAACATTTCTAATTTTAGAATAAAAAAGGTGAGGAAGATTTTTATAGCATCCCTAGAAATGGCAAAACATTTTAAGAATAACATAAACAGATGATAGTTAAACACACAGACTATTTCCTTCTACAATGGAAACCTTTGGATACATGGCCTTCAGGGCAACCTTAAAATAAAAAGCATAAATTTCCATTATTTGACCTCACTAGTACATGGGTGTCATTGGAATCCAACTCTGCAAAATCTCTCTAGCATGATGTCTAAATAGAGCAGACATTCACGTGGGGAAGACAGCCAGTTTAGCACGTGGGTCAACTCTTCAGACAGAGACTCTTCAGATAAATTATTACACTGGGAATTAGTCCTATGCCCTTGCAGTTTAAAATAGCACCGAATTAAACACCATTTAACATCTCTAGGAAAGACAGTAAGACATGTCTATGCTAAGACAGGTTTTGTTGAATTTGGATGCCACTGAAAAATAATGGAACATTAGTAGGAAACAATACTTCCAATATCCCCCCAAAGTATTAATTTTTGTTGCATGAAGAAGGAAGCCTGTAGAAACCGAAAGAATACAACAGTGCCTTAACTGCAGAACAGTTGTGTGTCTCGGTAAAACAACTCTAAATTTGCATTAAATTGTGAGAATATACTCTCTGTCTAACCTTCCATCCAGGAGATCCCTGCCACAGCATTCCCCTGCTGTTTTAGAAGGCACAAACAAGACGGGGTCTCTTCTGTAATAGGCAACCCTAAAGACTGCTTGAGGATCCCATGGGAATGACTTGAATGAAGGCGCAGAGTGCCTCCTCGGTGAGTTTATCATTTACACAAAGCTGGGAGGAGTGGCCAATACCTCAGAGGGCTGTGTTGCCCTTCAGAGGGACCTCAACAGGTTGGAGAGAAGGGCAGAGCAGAACCAACTGAGATTCAACAAGAGCACATGCAGGGTCCTGCACTAGGGGAGGAATAACCCTGAGAACTGGTAGAGGTTGGGCACTGACCTGCTGGAAAGCAGCTCTGCAGAAAAGGACCTGGGGATCCTGGTGGACAATAAGCTGTCCATGAGCCAGCATGTGCCCTTATGGCCAAGAGGGCAAACAGAATTCTGAGATGCATTAGGAAGAGTATTGCCAGCAGGTCGAGGGAGGTGATTCTGCACCGCTACTCAGCCCCTGTGAGGCCACACCTGGAGTGCTGTGTCCAGTTCTGGGCTCCCCAGTACCAGAGGGACATGGAGCTCCTAGATTGGTGCCAATGGAGGGCAACGAAGATGATTAAGGATATGGAGCACCTCACTTATGGGGAAAGGCTGAGTGAGTTGGGCTTGTTCAGCCTTGAGAAGAGACAACAGAGGAGACCTCATCAATGTACACAAGTATGTGAAGTGGGGTGCCAAGAAGATGGAGCAAGGCTCTTCTCAGTGGTGCAAACCCATAAAACAAGAGGTAATGGGCAGGAACCGATGCACAGAAAGTTCCACATGAATACAAGGAAGAACTTCTTTACTGTGTGAGTGACCAGGACCCAGACTCTTCTCAGTGGTGCTAAACAGTGGGACAAGAGGCAACAGGCAAAAATTGATGCAGAGGAAGTCCCACTTGAATATGAGAAAGAACTTCTTTACTGTGAGGGTGCTGTGCACTGGAACGGACTGCCCAGACAGGTTGTGGATTCTCCCTTACTGGAGATATTCCAGAACCATCTGGATGCAATCCTGTACCATGTGCTCTAGGGTGGCCCTGCTTGAGCAGGGAGGCTGGACTAGATGACCCACTGTGGCCCCTTCTAACCTGATCGGCTTGGGGATTCTGTGAATGAAGATCATTAAATTTTACACTGTGAAAAAAGTAACACAGTTTGACACTCAACAATGTAAAAACATCACTGCCACAACATACACTATTTTTATCTGCCCTGTGCTGCAGATTCAGCATTAAGTTCCCTGCAGGGAAGTCATCACTGCTCTTTGAGCTGCTAGCCAAAGGTGAGCAGTTCTGAGCATCTACAGAGACTCTACTGAATGAGACCAGAGAGCACTCAGGTTTTTTTGATATTTACCATTTTCAAGTCTTGCTTCAGAAGAGTGCTCGAGCCTATATTTCTTCCAAGGACTACCTGCAGTTTCTGTTGTTGCAACCTCAATATTCTTGTTCTGTACTCAAGTACAGCCAGTTCACATGCCAGCAGCTGTTGCAACTAGCATTAAGTAGATACCCTTTTAAGCTAATTTACTAAAAATAATTAAAAAGGAAAAAGATAATATTGCTGACAAGTGTGCACTTTTAAGAGTAGTTGTCACAGGCAGTCAAAAGTAAAAATCATGTGTTGGCACTGTTAGCCTGCAGAGGCCGTTTGTCTCCTGCAAAAATGCAGCTCAGTATCAATTCATTATTGATGAATTGAAACCCCAACCCCAACCCATGAATTCTGTATCTATGAGTTCCTGGACATCTTAATTCCTCCCTGTCCTAGCTCTGCCTCAAGCAATATTGATTTTTGGCTACCTGTAGCATTTCAAGATTATCAACTGTAGTGTAAATTGGAAGTAATGCAACACCACAGAGTTGCCCTCCACCCCTGGTTTACCCAGGATTACCTGCTATTAAATTTCCCTGGTTCTTCTTCTCTAGCATGATGAAAGTCCAAGCTCAACTCTGCGTCAATGCCAAGACCACAGTAATTGTTCATCTGTACAATCTGACCAAAAATAAAAAGGCATTATTTCCTGCTTACATTTATAAATGTAGAAGTTCCAAAGTTTTTCAACACAAGTAAGCTTTGCAGATGATCCTTCCAAGTCCCTTGGATCTTGACAGATTCTGGAAAACATTTTCCAGAAACACTGCACTAAAAATAAAGCTGTAGGAACAATTGCTGACATGTGTAGTCGTTAACTCCAGAGTACCAGAAACTTCAAAATTTAATCTTAATTAAAAGTAACAAGCATAGGGCAGAAATGAAAACCAATGCAGAAATAACACTAACTTAACGTCTCAAAGTGATTCTATACAATAACTTACAAGTTGCTGAAGACTAATGTCACTGTTATTTTTGGCATCAGCCACGGATTTATCATTACATCACTGGGAATACACTCCTCCTCACTTTGGAACGTGACCAGCTTACACCAGATGAGTGAAGAACTTGACCTCACCTACTCAGCTGTGTTTTAAATAGCTCCCTATATGTCAATCTCAAGTTTCTAAAGATCTCAACCATTTCTACCAATAATCCTTCCTTTGCATACCAATTCAGTCCTCAGGCTTTTTTATCCTAGTCCTTGACCCTCCCACCCTTCACCTTTAAAAAGCAGATTAGGCACTCAGGGAAAATCAACCTGCCTCCACCAAGTGAAAAATAGCTGGAACCTGAGCAATTTAAATCCTTTAGGTGACTCATAATGCCCAGGATTTTCCAGCAACCAGACTAAAATCTTAGACAATTGCTACCATCATTACAATTTCCTACTTCTTTTTTGGCACCCCCTTGTCCAAGTTTTTCATTTTGTCTGAAGACAGACAGAACCAGGATTCACATAATGCTCCAAAGTCACCATCAACATTGAACACTGTTATTTTCCTAAAAAGAAATAAGGTAAGACAAACCAAGGGACACTTTCACTCAAAAAAATCCAAATAACAGATGCCACACATACACACATGTAATGGCAGGAAGAAGACAGAAGGATTAACTTCCTGTAAATACTAGCAACTCCCAGTCATTTTTTAAACTACGAAAGGGGAGATGAGAGTACTTTTTGGGGAGAGGAGATTTTTTTTGGTCGACATGCCAGTTTTACAAGAGTTCTGGAAAGCATTTGGTATCCTTTCTAAACTCTTTTGTTATTGAAGAAATAATTTCCAACTGAAGCAAAGAGGTATGCCACTGTCACATTACATTTACATTAATCCTCTATCAGATGCCTCTTGCCAAACAGCTATGAAGTGTGCTCTGCAGCCAACTAGTCCTTCTGAAACTGAAGCACTAGATCCAGATGTGTGCTGCATACACTAAGAAACAGCCCAGTAAGGCCCAAGTGCAAAGGCAAGTGCGCAGTAAAAACTAAACTATGTTAATATCCGTGATGTGTGTGATTTTCAGTAGAACAGCAGTTCCTAAGAATCAAACCCAGCTGGTGCTCAGCTCACCTTTGGAGGCTCAGGTTCTGCAATGCCATTCTCTGCACCTTCAGCTGGCTCTTCTGCATCCAAAAGGATAGTCCAGCGATCCATAAGAACATCATCTGCCTCATCCACAGAAACCAAAACGGAGTATGGGTCCTCTCCACTGTAGCCAGCTCCCCAGCGCAACACCCTCCCTAAGTCATTACCTAGGCAACAATGAAGAAAGCCGAAACATGAGTGTACTTCATACTCAGTGCATCAGCCCTATTTTACAAACCACACTGCATTAAGGTGCTCCAAACAAGTCATTGAATTAGTTTGTCTGGAACAAAAACTTACCAAGCAGAAAAAACATCTAAATTTTGTTGTGGTTGCATGTGTTCTTGCTATTACATGCAGGCTGTCGCATCTGGAACATGTTCACAAAAAGTAATGGAAAAACCTGTTATGGAGTTGAGAAGTCAGGGGACAACTGAGTTCACTGGTTTACAGCAATGGCTGATGGACCTGTGGTTGTCAGAACAAGAGTATTTTGCCCTCTCCAAGTCCTGCCCACTCACACACACATACCAACACTCCTGCCACTACCTTTGCCTTCAGAAAGCATGACTGGCTTTTCCTTGAAAAGCTGATACTGCAATTTACTCTCCAGCA